CACTATGTTTATTTTGTTAAACATTTAACAAATAAAATTGTATTTAACCTTATATTTTTTCAAAACATCACTAAATATGAAAATATTGCAAATAAAGTTGATCCTTGTATGAGCCCTATATTTATTTACTTTGCCAAAAATGAATATAATGATAATTAAAATATTTTGAAAACATTGAATAGGTGAAATAGGAATATTATCATTAACGACCATGACTTTTGAATTAAGATGGTATTTTCAGGTCAGAAATATATAATTCTTCACAATTATTGTTTTTTATAAAAATGGCCACACGCAAATGGACTATCATACTTATCAATATCAAATTTGCCCCCTATATTGTATACCAATTGCTATTATTTGAAAAAAATAATTTTTTATCAAACTCATCTTTTTGATGGTTGCACCTTGTGGCAAGCCGTTTAGCCCATTCGTGTCACCTTTTTGAGTGCAGACAAGTAAAAATGAATAGTTGATGGACCAATCTATTATGATAATGGGTCACTTCATAGTAAGCTACCACAACATAGGTTTTTGTGATTTTCTGGAGTTTTGGCACACACTAAAGGTTGGCACACTGTCTAATGACACTTTTTTCAAAATGGCCGCCATTTTAACGTATTTTACTATAACTCGAAAAGTAGTGGAGCGATTTTGTTCATATTTGGTATGTGAATGCTAAAATGCATGACACACTATCCTATGACACTTTTAGTAGAAGGTGGCCATTTTGAAATTTTTTTTGAAAAATGGCCGCCATTTTAATGTATTTTATAATAATTCGAAAAGTAGTGAAGCGATTTTGTTCATATTTGGTATGTGAATACTGTAAGCATGGCACACTGTCTAATGACACTTTTGGTAGAAGGCGGCCATTTTTCAAAATGGCCGCCATTTTAACGTATTTTACTATAACTCGAAAAGTAGTGGAGCGATTTTGTTCATATTTGGTATGTGAATACTATAAGTATGGCAAATGGTCTAATGACACTTTTGGTAGAAGGCGACCATTTTGAAAAATGCCTGCCATTTTTGCTATATACTTTGTTTGTAAAAATGCCATCCATGGCTGTTCGATGGGATTCGCTACGCTTTGGCGTTGCTGTTGTTCTGGTTTATATATAATTGTAATAAATAGTTGTGTACACTGTACTTCATTCTACATCACAGTCCTCCAAATGCATGGGTTCAGACATCATCCACGTCACCTCGACATTGTAAGACGCGCATTATACCGAAACCCATTTTGAAAACCAATATACCGACCATGCATTGTACCGAAAACCAATAAACATGATATACCGATGCGCGTTGAACTATAATCCATGTGCGTTGTACCGAAAACCATTACTGCATACAGTCCGACACCATGATTTTGTGATATAAAAAGGCTTGTTATGGAAGATGTATGATAAGAGTAGAAGAGTGTGATAATTATTATTGAAAATCATGCACATTTAATCAGGAAGACCAGGCAAGAAATAGCAACAGAATCATACCGGAATAGCCTGACAATGGTAAATTCAGATAGCGTTGTAACAAATGGCGGACAACCGTCGCATAAACTCTTTAATCACGTGGTCTTCGTTTCATGGGACTTTATCGTCGCTAATTCTGTGCATGTGTCAAGCTCGTGTAATCCTACTATATGAAATCCCAATTTCTATCAAATGGGGTCGTGAATCGCTACAATATAGCTTCTTCGATATCGTCAACGACAACGGAATCTGAATTTGAAATAATTTACAAAGACAATGGTCATGGTAAGATGGGACAACGGACTATGTTGGATGTATTGCATGGGACCATAGGAAAATGAGATCGGTACGATGTCACTATTTAACTGATTTGAATCAAAGACAATGATGCAGGTGTGATGTAGGTTGTATAAAACTCATCTTGGGAATACTTAAAAGATTTCATGTTTAAGTTCGTGTGTATTCGTTTAGAAAGACATTAACTTTCTAATAACGTTAAAAGATTTTCGAACAGTGCTCGATTTTTTTCGTAGTCAATCTACTTCTGCTACTTGATCGGTTGGAAAATGTTGGGTATTTTACATTTCCTTTGATCATTTTTTCCCCTGTTGCCTAAGAGTGTAGATTATTTTTATGAGATTATGTTTCTCTATACTACACAATTTAGGACGGGTGGAGATTATGAATATTCAAGTATTTATCAGTTGTAATTTTAAAAAATCAGAAATGTGCGTTGTCAACTCAAAGGTACGTTGTCCCCGTAACTGAAATTCATGAGATAAGCGTTATATTATTATTACGCAATGTAATGATTTCATTTTTGAAAATTCATTAAGGTTTCTATGACTAACAAGTGATCTTAACGAACATGTTCAAGATCCTTTTTGCTTTTTCATTTTATGAACGTATTGTTGTGGTGGTGATTAATTTGTGCCCATTTGTTGTAAGCTTCCAGCTTCCAGTCCCATCCAGTGTCTCGGAATAGAATATGTTGAAGACTAGCACTGCCACGGAGTCTGCTTCCAGCCTGTTTGATTATTTGGCGGCTGTACCTTACGTTTTGTTAGTTACATTGATATAGATAGATAGATAGATCTACTGATCTATACTAGCTTATTGAATATGACCTTTTAAAATCCCGTTTGTCTCAATAGTTCAATCAAATTGAAGTAATTCTGTAATTGTTCTGTTTCAATTTTAAATGCATCTGACCCCCTCAGTGTCTGTTAGTGTTATGAAATCATAGGCGTAGCGCTATTTTTCTAACTAGTACGCCACCACCACAGGAACAAGAGTCAAGAATCAAAAACCGAGCATTCTGGGGGTTCTCCCCCAGGAAATTTTTGAAATTTGGAGCGAATTTGCAACCATCTGGTACACCTGTGCGTACCCAGCGTACCGGGCGCTACGCATTAGGGTTAACTGTGAATTGAGTAAGTTCAATGGGACAACGTAACGTACATTCGAGTTGATAACGTATGATTTTTTAAATTATAGCCAATATGTTAATACTTATTAATCTCCAACAGACCTTAAATGTTTAAAGAAACATATTCTCATAAAATTCTTCGACACTCTTAGACGACAGGGGAGGAAACTGATCAAAGGAAATGTGTAAAAACACAACATTTTCCATTGAACACGGATGGGTAGATTGACTACGAACAAATCGAGCACTGTTCGAAAATATTTTATCGTTATTAGAAAGTTAAATCTCTTCCTAAACAAACTTCAAAAAATCAAACATGAAATTCTTAATGCATTCCTCAGATTACTTTTTTAAACCTACATTCAAACCTACATCATTGTATTTGCTTCAAATCAGTTAAGTAGTGACATGGTTCATCTTATAAAGTGTAAGCTTAGTACGGTATATTTTGTAACTGTACTTTGTCGATGGTTAGGCGTGTGGCCCATGTCAAAATATATTCAAGTTTGGATGTTTCATCAAGACTAACATATATTTAGGGCCGCGCGTAAAATTTTTAGGGCCCTAAAACCAAAATTCTGAAAATTTATGGCCCGTTTTTTGAAAATTTGGCCTTAAATTGAAAAAAGTAAAGTCCAAAAAGGTCAATTAATGCCCAAAGAGGCCCTACAATATGTTTGAAAATTTAGCCTGAAATTAAAAAAATAAGGTCCAAAAAGGTCAAGTAAAGGCCAACTAAAGAGGTCCTACAATATTTTTGGCCCAACATTTTTTTCTCGGCATTTTTTTCTTTCCTAGGGCCGCGCGTAAAATTTTTTAGGTCCCTAAAACCCAAATTCTACCCTTTGCATTCGTTTGACTTCACTTCTTGAAAATCTTGGCCTAAAATGGAACAAAATAAGGCTCAAAAAGGTCAAGTAATTCCCAAAAAGGCTCAATAAAGAGGCCATACAATATTTTTGGGCCAACATTTTTTCCGGGCCCATGCCCCCCCCCCTCCTTCCTGGAACCGCCAGAAGGCTATAAGTACGATCTTAAAAAACAGAGGGAAAGGGGCACAAATATGTACGCGAAAGAAATTGGGCCAAATTTTGAAAAATAATGCCCAAATTCGAAAAACAATGCACAGTAACGCCAGTTTTTAATCCTCAAGTAATTGCCCAGTGAATGTGGGGAAGAGCAAGTTTTTCTTCAAGGAAGCAAAAAGGTAGGTCCACATTTTTTAGGAGATATCGGGGGGGGGGGGGGCTTGGACGAGGCCCCAGAGCCTCCCCCCAGTCTACGGGCCTGTATAGTATTAGTTGCTCCAACTGTTATAAACCACTTGGATATTCCAAGATGACCACCTATGTATGTGAAGCTCCATGTGTTCTGGGCTACCCAAGTATTCCGACTCTTGCCGAAGTATTCCGACTTGGCCCAAGTATTCTGGGTTTACTTATTTTATCAAATACAATCGATACGGTGATTTTCAATTTCCGAGTAATATCAATTTTAGGTTTCTACAGAGATGACTGTTGGAATTAAGCTCACTTATAATGTGGCTGCCTCGTGCACAAAAAGGCTTTCCATTTATTCATATAACGAACTAACAGTGTACCCATTGGGGAATGTAGAATCCCCGGTTGTTCGACTTTTGTACCATGGGACACTCCTGAGCAATAGAGCCCCCCCCCCCCCCCAATAGAATATTTAGACAGAATATATCAATATAATTAGGCTGGGTCTCAATTTCAGGAACATACCTCATTTTTGGAAAATTGGCCTTTTGAAAAAATGGGCATCAGATTTTAAAAATTGGGTCCATATTTTTAGAAATTGGGTCAAATTAACTTTCAACGATCGAGCCAACATTTTAGGACTCTCTTTTTTCATCCTAGCATTTTTCTAGCAAAACTTAATTTTTTGAACCCTCTTTTGTGAAGTACAAAATATGACAAATAAGCGATCTCGGAACACTTGGGTTGTAAGAACAGTTGGGCAAGAGTCAGAACACTTGGGTAGCCCAGAACAGTTGGGCTCAGGTTGGGCTTCCACATACGTATATGTGTGCGACCTGCTTTTCGGATCATGTGACGAGCTACAGGTCACGTGACTAAACAAAATGGAAGACGAAGTGGGTTTACGCGAACCACTTTTATCGGATGAAGATGAGGGGAGAGATGCAGGTAAGATATTGTGTTGTTTTCGGAGTTAAGCGGACCAGAAGTTGAAATTTTATGGCATAAAATCTGTAATACTTGTGTGTGGGTAATAGGTTAGAATTAGAATCTAAAGTCGAAGTCAATATGCCATTTATTTATTTTACAGTAGGAAATTTTAGGTACAGCTGGAAACTAAACTAACATTTTGGTAATACCTACCTAAAATTGCAATACCTGCACATGTTATTTTCTGGTACAAAATAAAGTACGAAGGCATGTGTCAATTTCCTTGCTTTTTCAGGAAAGTATCATTGCATTGTCTTATTTTAGAATAGCTGGTAGGAGTTAAATGGGAACTCAAGGAAATTCTGATATTTCACATTTTCTATTTTCCAAATTTTCATTCAAAGTTTCCAGACAGCACAGGAGCTACCATTGACTTACCTTCTTCTAAGGCCACTGTATCGTGGCCTTCCAGTAAAGATATATTCCTGCATGAACGACTGGTCATGTCGTAATCATAAAATTTGAAATCATATGTCCGCCATTTTTCCACATCACAATTTGAATTGCGAGTTTTGGTCTTATTACCTCACCAAAAATTCCAAAACACACATAAAACGATCAGTGTATTAGTTCACATCTTCTGGATCGCTAACTTAGAATTTACAGCCAGTTACTAATGTCAGACGTTAACGACATTTCGTCCAGTTTTCGAACATCGCCATTTTTCTTGGAGCCATTTTGTTTTAATTTTAGATGAAATCCTGATGAAATCATGTCATATCTCATCAAGGAGCCGAGCTGGTTTCGTTTTGATTAATGATTTATTTATCTGGGAATTTTTAAAATATTCAATAAATTTATGACACAGAGGCCAGCTTTTTTCAAATAGAGTTCACAGTATTCCAGATGAAATCCCCTCTAGCCAAGTATTGGCTAGAGACTCGAGTAACCATTGACCTATTTCCAGGTTTACAGAGTAAACAGTGTAATGATACTTTCCTGAAAAAAGCAAGGAAAAACACACATGCCTTCATACATCATACTTAATTTTGTACCAGAAAATAACATGTGCAGGTATAGCAATTTTTACCAAAATGTTACTTTCCAGCTGAGCCTTAAATGTTTGGAACTACGTTTGAATCAAATGACTATATTGCAACAGTATATAAAGAATAGAAACATATGTACTTGTCCTTCTTTCGGATAGTTATGTGTAATGTGAAGTAAAGCTGTGGCGTTTTGTAATTGAGGGAGTTTCAGCCATGTTAATTTTTCCGAAAATAACACACTAAGTGCATTCTGATTTATCAGAGTCCCTCTTTACCTAACGTTTTTGAGAGACTCTGATATATCATGAGGCAGAACATGTTCCTAGCCAGTGCATTCTCCAAGTAAATCAGTGTATATGGAGGAATAAATTAGTACCTAAGAATGCACCGTCCTGTTTTCCCCTTTGTAAACTTTAATTCAATGAATTCATTATGTGGAAAACTTTTATTTATCTTGATGGTTCTTGTTTTTATATTGAAAATTAATAACTATGATAATGTTGACATACTTCTTTTTTTCTTATTGTTTTCCAATTTATAATTTTAAACAATAATTATCATGCAAATGTCAACACTTGGATTATTTGGGAGGGCATTGTGTTTGGTCACACTCATTAGGCTTTGTCTGCTTATGTAATCATGCAACTGCAGGTAATGCCTTCCCATGATACTCATAGTCAATAGAACTCTGTAAATAATTTGGTTGGTCCGTACATTTTAGGGTTAAAGGAAACATTTATTACAGTCAGTATCCCACAGTCTGAACTATTCCAAAAGGATAGTAAAGGCTGTGGATCCCACAATGCACTAAGTGGGTTTGATATAAACCAAAACAACCCAAAAAGGTGTTTCTCTAGTTAACTACTGTCAAATGCTTCAGTTATTTTGTAATCTTTTTAGAGCAAGAGAAGCTTCCTCTATTTGGGAAAAGGCATTTGTTGGCAATTATGGCATTCCTTGGCTTCGTAAATGTCTATGCCCTTCGTGTTAACCTCAGTGTGGCAATGGTTGCTATGGTGAAGCTAAATACTACTGGAGAGAGTAATACCTCAGCAGCTGCAGAATGCCCAAACCCTGATGCTACAAACAACACTAATGCAACTATACATGTAAGACAAATCATCACATTTTTATTGCACTTTGAAAAAGTATATTTTAAAGATTCATTTGAAGACTAATAATAGCTTCATTCTTGCTGTGCAATAATGTTTAAATTTTCGCTCACTTTTAATTATCCCATCGAACAAAGTTTGGAGGGATATAGGGAAGGCATCCGTACGTACGTCCGTCCGTCAGTTCGTCCATCTGTCAACAATTGGCCAGTCAATAGGATTCCTGTTTTAAGTTATTTTTGCCAATATCAATATAGAAAACCCCCCTATGACTCCTGGTTCAAAAACTCACCTATTTTCAAAATGGCTGCCATTTTTGTCTCACTAAATTCACTTTTGGACCATTTGCTTTAAAACCTGTGTCGATAGGATTCCTGTTTAAGTTATATTTGTTCAACATCAATACAGAAAAGTCCCTTGGGGGAGGCATCAAAAGTTCGATATCGGATCGGAAACTAAATAAATCTAGTTTTGACTCTGACCCCCCCCCCCCTCCCCCAAAAACTAAATACCATGAAAGTTGATCGCTGACTTCCGGTTTGAGAATTTGAAAAATTATTGCTAAACACGATCTAGTTTTTGTTAATTCCTATCGTAATTTGTGGCTTTTAACAACTATTGATAGAATAGAATCCATTGTTATGATCTTGATGAGAAACACAGGCTGGTATCGAAAGATTTGTCCGCTGTGACGGAGCATGCTATTTTTCATAAAACACTAAGAATGCTTCACGATTTATTTTTTAACTCATATGTTTCGTTATATCAAAGATAATTACTTACTCCATGCAATGGATATATCATTTGCGTGTAACCTTCACTTCTGTTTGAAGTCCAATAACGCTAGGAGTAAAATCTATTGAAAACGGCACCAGAGTATCAAACTCTAAAATGTACCATTTCTTTTTTAACTTTTTAATGGCATGATATAGTGACACAATAATATTAACATATGTTTTCAGCATAACGCTGAATGTATTAATGAGATATTAATGCATTGGGTCTTTTTAATTTTTTTATAAAAAATAATATTAATATTTTTTGTCCGCTGTGACGGAGCATTTTCACAGTTCACATTTGCAACTGCTCCGTCACAGCGGACAAAAAAAATTAAACATTATTTTTATAAACGAATTGAAAAGACCAAATACATCAACATCTCATTTATACCTTCATATTTATGCTGAAACCATGTGTAAATAGTATCGTGTCACTATATCGTGCCATTAGAAAGTTAAACAAGAAATGGTACATTTTGAAGTATGATACTCCGGCGCCATTTTCAATAGCTTTTCTTCCCAGCGTAATTGGACTTCAAACAGAAGTGAAAGTTACCCGCAAATGATATATCCATTGCATGGAGTAAGTAATTTTGTATGGTATAACGAAACATATGAGTTAAAAAACAAATCGTGAAGTATTCTTAGTGTTTTTATGAAAAATAGCATGCTCCGTCACAGCGGACAAATATTTCGATACCAGCCTGTGAGAAAGCAGCAGGTAAAATCTTTTTTTAAAACAATTCCAAGGCAGTCTTAGTCGAAATTGCTGAAAATTTGAAATGTTGAAATTTGTCGGATAGCAAACTGAATTGGGTTTGAACCCCCTCCCCCCTAACTAGATTTATTTAGTTTTCTATCCGACATCGAACTTTTGATGCCTCCCCTTATGACTCCTGGTTCTAAAGCTCGCCTTTTTTCAAAATGGCCACCACTTTTGTCTCACGAAATTCACTTTTGGCCCATTTCCTAGCTTTACAAATAATTTCAGGTATCCTCACTTTTGAGCAACACCATGTGAGCCCAGTACCCACGGTACTATTTATTTATCAATCAAAATTCCAGGAAAACTGCTTATTCATTGAAATATTTTTTACAGATGCAAAATTGTGCCAAGATCTAATTATTTTTAGGGCTTGCTGGGTAAATAACGTAGTAGTCATATGGAAATTTTCTGTAAATCTTATCATTAAAATTCCAGGAAACCATCTGTTCAACTTTAAATTTCTACAGAAGCAAGTGCAGACAAAAAGTGTGATATTTATCACTGTGTATATGTGTCTTGTTATGTCCCCACCACATAGTGTGGGGCCATATTGTCGGCCTAGGCACGTCCCTCTGTCTGTATGATGTCCGTCTGTCCTTACGTCTGGCAGTTTTCTCCAAAACCGCTACAGATATCACCTTCAAATTTTCAGGGATAACTTATGATTGCATACGGATGTGGACGAAAAAAAATTAACTCGATACCTACTTCCTGTCAGCCATTTTGAAGTCAAATGCTAAAATCCTTGTCTGCAAACTTTAAGAAAAATGGCTTCACAGTTGCTTTTAAAACTTTAACATCTTGTTCAGCTCACTTCATTCTAGATCTGAATTGGTTTTGGACCTGTTTGCTCAGTCATGTCAGCCATTTTGAATGTTTTAAGGAAAGTTAGCGCACGATAATACTTTGTATCATATTGAATGGTGTTTTTCAGTTTTCATACTTTAACTATTTAGTAGCCTTATAAATAATTTCAGGTGTACTTTGTTGTAAAAGCCTATGTTATTGTTAACAGTAGTTATATGTGATAATTTTGTAAAAAGAAATCAGCAAAAACTCATAATCACTTTTTTATTGTCGGCCATTTTGGATTTTTCCGTCCTAAAATCGTGTCTGTAAAGTCTTGTCTACGCGTTTTCAGGTGAACCGTTTGGTAGATCAATTTCAAATTTTCAGGGATGATTAGTCTAAAAAACTAGATCTGATTAGTTGTTGGGCATTCTGGGTAAATGTCAAGGCAGCCATTTTGGATTTTCCGTCCTAAAATCTTGTCTGTAAAGTCTTGTCTACGCATTTCCAGGTGAACCGTTTGGTAGATCAATTTCAAATTTTCAGGGATGATTCTTAGTATGAAAATTGTGATCTGATTAGTTGTTGGGGCATTCTGGGTAAATGTCAAGGCAGCCATTTTGGATTTTCCGTGCTAAAATCTTGTCTGTAAAGTCTTGTCTACGCATTTCCAGGTGAACCGTTTGGTAGATCAATTTCAAATTTTCAGGGATGATTCTTAGTATGAAAATCTAGATCTGATTAGTTTTTTGGCATTCTAGATAAATGTCAAGGCAGCCATTTTGGATTTATCGTCTTAAAATCTTCCCCGTTAAGTCTTGTCTATACGTTTTTAGGTGAACCGTTTGGAAGATCAAATTCAAATTTTCAGGGATGATTCTTAGTATGAATACCTAGATCTGATTAGTTTTTTGGCATTCTGGGTAAATGTCAAGGCAGCCATTTTGCATTTTCTGTTCTAAAATTTTGTCTGTAAAGTCTTGTCTACGCATTTCCAGGTTAACTGTTAGGTAGATCAATTTCAAATTTTCAGGGATGATTCTTAGTATGAAAATCTAGATCTGATTAGTTTTTTGGCATTCTGGATAAATGTCAAAGCAGCCATTTTGGATTTTCCGTCTTAAAATCTTGTCTGTAAAGTCTTGTCTGCGCATTTCCAGGTGAACCATTTGGTAGATCAATTTCAAATTTTCAGGGATGATTCTTAGTATGAAAATCTAGATCCGATTAGTTTTTGGGCATTCTGGGTAAATGTCAAGGCAGCCATTTTGGATTTTCTCTCCTAAAATCTTGTTTGTAAAGTCTTGTCTACGCATTTCCAGGTGAACCGTTTGGTAGATCAATTTCAAATTTTCAGGGATGATTCTTAGTATGAATATCTAGAACAGATTAGTTTTTTGGCATTCTGGATAAATGTCAAGGCAGCCATTTTGGATTTTCTGTCCTCAAATCTTGTCAGTAAAGTCTTGTTTACATGTTTTCTGGTTAACTGTGTGACGGATCAATTTCAAATTTTCAGGGGTGGTTCTTAGTATGAAAATCTAGATCTGATTAGTTTTTTGGCATTTTGGGTAAATGTCAAGGCAGCCATTTTGGATTTTCTGTTCTAAAATCGTGTCTGTAAAGTCGTCTACGCGTTTTCAGGTGAACTGTTTTGTAGATCAATTTCAAATTTTCAGGGATGATTCTTAGTCTAAAAAACTAGATCTGATTAGTTGTTGGGCATTCTGGGTAAATGTCAAGGCAGCCATTTTGGATTTTCCGTCCTAAAATCTTTTCTGTAAAGTCTTGTCTACGCATTTCAAGGTGAACCGTTTGGTAGATCAATTTGAAATTTTCAGGGATGATTCTTAGTATGAAAATCTAGATCTGATTAGTTTTTTGGCATTCTAGATAAATGTCAAGGCAGCCATTTTGGATTTATTGTCTTAAAATCTTCCCCGTAAAGTCTTGTCTATACGTTTTTAGGTGAACCGTTTTGAAGATCAATTTCAAATTTTCAGGGATGATTCTTAGTATGAAAATCTAGATCTGATTATAGTTTTTTGGCATTTTGGGTAAATGTCAAGGCAGCCATTTTGGATTTTCTGTTCTAAAATCTTGCCTGTAAAGTCTTGTCTACGCATTTCCAGGTTAACTGTGAGGTAGATCAATTTCAAATTTTCAGGGATGATTCTTAGTATGAAAATCTAGATCTGATTAGTTTTTTGGCATTCTGGATAAATGTCAAAGCAGCCATTTTGGATTTTCCGTCTTAAAATCTTGTCTGTAAAGTCTTGTCTACGCATTTCCAGGTGAACCGTTTGGTAGATCAATTTCAAATTTTCAGGGATGATTCTTAGTATGAAAATCTAGATCCGATTAGTTTTTGGGCATTCTGGGTAAATGTCAAGGCAGCCATTTTGGATTTTCTCTCCTAAAATCTTGTTTGTAAAGTCTTGTCTACGCATTTCCAGGTGAACCGTTTGGTAGATCAATTTGAAATTTTCAGGGATGATTCTTAGTATGAATATCTAGAACAGATTAGTTTTTTGGCATTCTGGATAAATGTCAAGGCAGCCATTTTGGATTTTCTGTCCTCAAATCTTGTCAGTAAAGTCTTGTTTACATGTTTTCTGGTTAACTGTGTGACGGATCAATTTCAAATTTTCAGGAGTGGTTCTTAGTATGAAAATCTAGAACTGACTAATTTTTGGGCATTCTGGGTAAATTTTAAGGTGGCCATTTTGGATTTTCCGTCCTCAAATTGTGTCGGTAAAGTTTTGTCTACTCATTTTTAGGATAACCATTTGACGGGATCACCCATAGGTGGGAACATTTTGTACACATTTGTGTTCTTGTTTTTTATTTTGTCTGCATCCCAAATATACCATAAAAGTATTTTATTTATTTTAGGATGGAGAGTTTGATTGGAATAGCAATGAGCAAGGGTTGATTCTGGGTTCTTTCTTCTATGGTTACATCCTAACACAAATTCCAGGGGGATGGCTGTCTGAGAGATATGGAGGTAACAAGATGAATTTTGAGATTTAGTAGCTCGATGTCTCAATTGCCTGAATATCTGAGCAATTGGCTTATGTTTTATCGCACCTTTGGGTTCTATATTGTGATCGGGTGGCCATCTGGGGTGCTAGGAAGGCTCTCTGGGACTGGGCAAGTGTGCACTTTGTATTTCTAGTCAAATCATTTGAAGGATTGAATTCAGATTTTAAGGGATCCAATGTCTCTTTGTATGAAATTCCAAACTCCAAAGGTAAGGCACCAGAAGAGAAATAATATCACCCTTAAAAGGAAACCAAGACTCAATCTACCAGGAGCTGAGGACTTTTAATGAAAAGTACTGGACAGCAAAGTCGACACCATTCCAAGACAACACACTGAGAGTCCCAAGAAAGAAATGAGAGCTGATGAAATCCATTGTTTATGACCAGTGCAGTAAGGAGACGATACTACTCTATCACCTCTGGTTATTTATATCATGTACTTGTAATGTGGAAAATGACCAGGGATTTATTAAGAATGTTATGTTCGGGATTTGTCACTCCTTGGTATAACTAGACTCTGTATGCAGCATAACATGCAGGAATTAATATCATTGTTGAAGGACTTCTAGCATACATGCTCTGTAGTTTAGAAGGTATTGTAGTTAACATATACTTGGTGAATAAAAGTTTCAGTCAGTAGAAATATTAGATTGATGTTGTCCTTAGTTTTATCTTATTTAAAACCTTCACCTAATGATTACTGGAGATACTACTGTGCAATAGCAAGTTTAAATCAACATAATAGTAGGTCATCATTTTCAGGCGAAATTGTGGAGGAGAGTGGAGACTGATCTCCAACTTGACTTTGGCTTGATCAGTACAAGTCATGGCTGTGATGCCATAAATGCAATGTTGATGTAAAAGAGTCAGTAGGCTCTGTAGCTCAAGCGTAGAGCACCTGACATGTAATCGAGAGGTTGTGGGTTCGATTCCCACCAGGGTGGAGTGATTTTTTTTTTCACATCAGCCCTTAGCATAGGATTTGTTCCTATGTTTTCAGATTAAATAATCCATAATATGTAATAGTGCTACGGCCAAGGTGATTTGTGTCCAAAACACCTAGATTCAATTTGACTTTAGATTCTTGTAGGGGACCCCAAGGCATGTAAAAAAAAGTTTGTGAACCCTTGCAAAGCAGGCTCAAAAGTGCTGAGTCAGCAAATTTTATCATTTTCGAGTCAGAGTTTGACCATATGCTTGAAAATATTTAATATCTCATTTGAGGATGTTGCAATTGTAATGAAACATTGTTAGTATATCAATAAGGCATGTATGAAGAATTCCTGAAAGTTTGGGTCTTATCCAACAAAATTTGGTAGAGATATGGGATAATTTGTCCCTAAAAGTACATCATTTCTCCTCAAAATTTCTTAATCAGTCGATAGTTAATCAGTCATTTAAAAAACAGTAAGGGCCTACGGTGTATAAAACCTGATTAAAAACTACACTGGTGATGTTAGCAAATATTTCTTGCATAAGTTTCAATAAAAAGTGCATGCATCTATTTTTTCTGATTTTTCTTTTTACATTCCCCCAAAAATTCAAGAAAGGGGGCGTGGCACATAACACTTCAGTTGTTGAACTTTTTGCTAGGGTCAAATAGAAAATATGTATCATTATAGCAAAAAGTATTATTCTAAATAAATCTTAACACTATAAGTGACATCATAATATGCTAAACATATTCATTATCTATCATTTTATATTTTTTACAGCTTATCATTGCCATAAACCATAAAACCATTTAGGGTATGTGTGGTCAGCAATTGGAAATACATGTACGTATGTGAACTAATAACATTTTTCAAAACTGTATTTCGGGTGCCATTCTTTCCTGATGTTGTTCATGTAGTTATGGTTTATGTTTATGAATGATAGCACTTAGCATCATAAGTTTGGCAACTCAAACCCCTTTGAATCACTTATTAAAGCCTGTTTATTTATGGCATATGAAATCGAAGTATCTGAAATACGGTAATAAGGAACATAATCAAGTTTTAAACATTGACAGACTTTGATATGCTATCATATAATAACTTCCAGTTGCCAAACTTATGGAGGGGGTGTACATGCTTATAGTATAGGGTCCATGTAAACTGCAACAAGACTCCTATTGTTGCTGCAAATAATTAGCTATATAATAACAAATTGTAACACCAAATGATTAAGAGCCAGAGTTTCTCGGAGCCTGGTTGCAGTTTGCACACTTCGTATTGTATATATGTCATAAATTGTTTAGTTGTAGTCTGTAGAACATAACAAGATGTGTATGTTTTTTTTATATCAAAATAATACATCTTGTCCATAGGCTTAGCCAGGGGGTGCAATAGGATCGCACCCCCCCCCCCCCCCCCCCCCCCAATAACCAATAAAAATATAACCATGAGATAGAAGAAGAGTTTTATAATGCTTTTTATTTTAAGCTTCTAGCCCTATTTTGAAGGAAGTTGAATCAAGATATGTAAAATTCAAGATAGATCTTAATTTTTAGCTTTTTTATGCCACAGTCGCATCCCCCTGACTGAAAACCGAAAAAATTTTGGCGATCAAACCCCCACTGAACCAAAGCTGGCTACGCCCCTATTGTCCCTAAGGAATTGGAGAAAATGTTTCACTGCTAGTCTAGCACCCAATAGTTATACTTCACATAGTATCAAGGGAATTGATTGTACTTTGTACAGGAAACAATTGTATCCCTAGCTGTAGATAGAAGAGTTAAGAAGCCCCAGCAAAGTGACCTCCTTTGTATTTATGCACCAAAACAGAGAAATAGATTTTTAAAATCTCAATATTGGAATCAATTTCACTTTCACTTTATCTTTTAGCATCTCTTTCAACCAGTGAAGTATTCTTGATAATTATGATAAACTCTTTCTGATGTCATTAGTCATCACCTCCATAGTAAGTATTTAATGGAGCTTATTATCATCTTCGACTTCCATGTTATTATACAGTTGGAGCAATTGAAACCTTGAGAATCAAGATGGCTAATTATCAGAATTTTCAATCTAAATGGGTTCTCATTTGCTTCTACCACCTTGATTATGCTTTGTACAGATGACTCATTATTCATGGAGCAGCATGATCGACAGTAAGTGTTACGCGGTATATGGCATACATTCATGGTTGCGCAGTATTTGTGATACGGGTGAATATGCCATACTCACCTGCGGTGTATGGCATATTCTGCAGGTGAGTATGCGATATTCCGCAGTGAATATGCGATACATTGATTTCAGTGAATACCCCATACTCACCTGCGGAATATGTCATGCTCACTTGCGGAATATGCCATATACCGCAGGTGAATATGACATATACCGCAGGTGAAAACGTGATACAGAAAGCCTTGATTTGATTGGTTGCGAGAATCGACTCTTAATGTAAAACTACACTGGATTACCAATATAGTTAGTGCGTCCAGTACTAATGTATCAATCCTGGATTGATTGAGTAAGTTTATTGCACGAGATTGGTGACTGATACTTCTGCTAAGTTAATATATTCTAAGTTAATATATTTGACATACAGTGCTGTTGATTCAGTAATCATTATAATAATTTATAATGTTTAACTTGTTCGTTCAATCTAAGCAATTGACAATTGCGTACTCTATATCAGTCCACCCGTGTAGCTCAGCGGTAGCACAGGTACCTCTTACGCAATAGGTCCCGGATTCGATCCCCGGTTCAGGCAAGACTAAATTTGCCTGTTTGCGTGAAGTACTTCAGGGGTTTTGACTGAGTGGTCCGCAACTCGTACAAAAGGCTGTGGTGTGTACTTGTATGTCTATGTATAAATGCACATAAAAGAACACAGGGCTCCTTCAAGGAGGGGTTTCTGGGTCTATCGTCCATGTTTAATTAATACGTAAATTACGACCGTATATATACGGGACATACCCAAGAGGTATGGCTCACCTTCATTGGTGGTAAAACAAAATACAATACAATACAATCACATTCTCATTGGTTAGTGTGTATGCCATATACCGCAGGTGAATCTGTCATACACCGCAAGTGAATATGCCATATTCATCGCGGAATATGACATATTTTGTATCGTGATTACCGCGTAACAGTAAGTTCCAGTTTTTGTTCCCTGCTAACTGTTATAGTACGTAATAAGCTACTGACTGATAATATCTTGGGATCAACCGATCCACACTCAGTTATTAAGCATTACTTACGTTTTGTCACTCCCATTGACTTTTGGAATCTGTTTTTCCAAGACCATATGTTATCATGGAAACCCCTTCATAATAAACCTATTCACCAGTTAAAGACATTCAATCCAAGGCCAAGTGACCATGGAATGGCTCATCCCCGAGGATCCTATGGATTCTGTAGTAACATGTGGTCATGAATTGAATGCAGGAGAAAAAGTTTATTTGAAGATATTATGAATGGCACTAGCCCCCTCAGTTCGTGTAAAACTAAAATATCCGTACCAGACAAGTGAAATCGGTCCAAATGATCACGCTCTTACAAAGTTTTGACAACTTTTCCTTTTTAACGATTTGATGAATGTAAACAAAGGAAGTTACTTTGCTAAAGCCTAACATATACCAATACGGCACGGTGGGACCTCCATTGATTTTGACATTGGGTGGGACCTCATGGAAATCCATTGGACTTCATTGAGCTAACTATGGGATCAAAATGACCTTGACAAAACCTTCTAAACAAAATTACATCATTTCCGTGGGACTCAATGGGATATGGAGGGACTCGATGAGACTCAATGGGGCAAAGTTAACAAGGTCTCTTGGGACATTGTGGGACTCGATATGGCATGGTGGGACTTGATGGGTCGAGTGGGATTCTGCACCATTGGAATATGTTGGCCTTAGGACCAAACTCACTTATGTCACATATCATATAAGTAATGTAGACAAACCCAATGCCAAGGAATTGATCACTGTCTTTGAGAGAATGTATAGCACTATTATTTCCTTTTGCTTCAGGTTTCTACAACTAAACAATTTATGACACATATAATACTTATTATACACCCCCTCCATAAGGTTGGCAACTGCAAGTTTTCATATGATTACATATTAAGGTCTGTCAATGTTTGAACCTTGATTTTGTTCCTTATTGCTTTATTCCAAAAGCTTGATGTCTTGTTTAAAATTGCCAAACAGCATGAAAAACTTTAATAAGTGATTCAAAGGGGGACAAACTTATGATGGGGAGTGTAATATAACATATTATCATCATAATTCATTCTTAACATACCATAACTGCATGAACAACATAAGAATAGAATGGCATCTGAAATACAATTTTGAAAAATGTTAATGTGAAAAGTACACATACATGTATTTCCTATTGCTGACCACACATACCCTAAACAGTTTTATGGGGTATGGCAATGATAAGCTGTAAAAAATATAAAATGGTAGATAATGAATATGTTTAGCATATCATGATGTCACAAATAGTGTTAAGATTTATTTAGAATAACACTTTTTGCTATAATGATACACATTTTCTATTTGACCCTAGCAACAAGTTCAACAACTGAAGTGTTATGTGCCACGCCCCCTTTCTTGAATTTTTAGGGGAAGGTAAAGAGAAAAATCAGAAAAAATAGATACTTGTACTTTTTATTGAAACTTATTCAAGAAATATTTGCTAACATCATCAGTGAAGTTTTAAATCAGGTTTTATGTACCATAGGCCCTTACTGTTTTTTAAACGACTGATTAACTATCGACTGATTAAGAAATTTTGAAGAGAAATGATGTACTTTTAGGGACAAATTATCCCATATCTCCACAAAATTTTGTTGGTGAAGACCCAAACTTTCAGGAATTCTTCATACATGCCTTATTGATATATTGACAATGTTTCATTATAATTGCAACATCCTGAAATGAGATATTAAATAGTTTCAAGCATATGGTCAAACTCTGACTCGAAAATAATAAAATTTGCTGACTCAGCACTTTTGAGCCTACTTTGCAAGGGTTCACAAACTTTTTTTTACATGCCTTGGGGTCCCCTACAAGAATCTAAAGTCAAATTGAATCTAGGTGTTTTGGACACAAATCGCCTTGGCCGTAGCACTATAATATGTATTGTATTACATTTGAAAAGAACTTCATGTACAATCATGAATATTGACAGTGCTATCTATGGAATGGATGTACTATGTCATGTGTGTCTTGTGTGAGAAGTCTATAAATTCAATCAAAATTAGTGATAGTATTGAGAGTAAAATTATTTCTTGATATCAACAAATGATTGTTATTGTAAAATGATAATAAAAATGATGAATAAACATGAGTGTTGATTTAATAGTAATTTGACAACTGTTTATCATTTATAGAATGTACAAATTATGAATTGGTGTATAGTTTTCTTGTCAGGATTATCAAATCCTTGACTTTATTGGGTCAAGGGGTACCATGTTTTTCATATTGCTATAATTTTGATTGTCACTTGCATTTTTGGGGGTAGGGGTAATAAAAATATGTTTGAAATATATTTTAAAATAAATTCAAACTTAAAGGCATCAATTTGAAACAATAAATTTTTAATCTTTACGATTATTAGACTATCACAGACAGTTCCTGTAAATGTGTAATTTTTCATTGCTATTACATGTATTTACATTTTCAAAAGCTTCATTTATATTCGTTCAAAAGCTTGGTGGTTTTCTTTCCTCACCACTAGATGGTTCAGCATACAAAATTATCTAAAATAAAAAGCTTACATTTTATTATTTTGATAGGGAAGAAGCTATTTGGCTTTGGGGTCCTATGTACGTCTGCTCTCACCCTCCTCACTCCAGTAGCAGCTCGTTGGAGTGTCCCTGTGTTAGTAGCTGTCAGAATAATTGAGGGGATTGGAGAGGTAATTGCCACAGGTTGCGTGCAAAGAAGATATTGTTTAATCATCCAAATATTATTTGTCACAACTTTAAAAAGTGTTTGAGACATTTTTAGAAAAAAACTGAATAATTATCCATCCAATTGAGTTCAAGGGAAAAGCGCTCCAGCTGTTTGTCTGACAACTGTTACTCTTTTGAGTACATGTAGCTGTTTTCTAGTTTCTCTACTTTTATGCATCTAGCATTCATCGAAATTTAAAATGGCTGTCATTTTTGATAGCAAAACTTTGTTGGCCACTGAATTAAAAATGGCCACCATTTTGTATGAAAAAATCTAATTTTTCATGTTCTAAATATGAGTGATTTGATAAAATTTGTTTTGTTCAATGGAGAATTGCTACTATGGGGGCCATTCTTGGAAACGTTCATAACTAACGACTGGTCGTAAGTCATTGTTCTCTTACTACGACTGGTAAAAATGCATTTTTCATACATTGTTGTAACTTCAATGTAAAGTTACGACCAGGGTTAGGGGTGTCTTATCTTCACTCTGTTCGTAACTTGGTAAAGTAGCTGTCACATTAGCCATGTGAACTCACCATTAGCCATTATGTGGCTAATTTTGGGCATCAATTTTTTTTATTAATTCTTGTATTTGGTGTGATTTGAATATCTTGCACATTGAGTACACATGCCGTGTCCCGCCGTCTGCCCCAAAGTATTCTTACGGTTTCGAATCTCGTGTTTTTAATAAAGTGAATAGAGAGTTTAAGCTAGCGATATTTTTCACAACCGTGTAACACAAAGCCAGTGAATCAATACAGTAATGTATATAGCGGGCATGCAAAACAAGCGCTACTTAGTCTACTTCAGATACCCGATCAGCTACAGAGCTGTGTTTAGAACGGGAGATTTGCAATTTCACGTTGGTTGGAACGGGAATCATTATACTCATGACTTTTGAATACTATGCTGGCAATTTTGATTTCGATGAATCACATGATCATCATGTGATATAACTTTACTTCTTACGGTCGGTCGTAAGTATGGTTATTTACAACTAAGATACAACGGTTTCCAAAAACATTGTGGTCGTAACTTACGACCTGTCGTAACTCGGTCGTAAATATTTAAACTTACGACGAGTCGAGTAGTAAGTTACGACGATCATAAGTTGCATTTGTACCAAGAATGGCCCCCTGGGGAGTTTGTGTTTGTTTACATCGTGTTACATTAATATGGTGTTGCTTACTTACAGGGTGTTCTATTATTGATAGTATTATGTATACTTACAGGGTGTTACATTATTGATAGTATTATGTATACTTACAGGGTGATACATTATTGATGTGTATACTTACAGGGTGTTACATTATTGATGTGTATACTTACAGGGTGTTACATTATTGATGTTTATACCTACAGGGTGTTACATTATTGATGTGTACTTACAGGGTGTTACATTATTGATGTGTATACTTACAGGGTGTTACATTATTGATGTGTATACTTACAGGGTGTTACATTCCCAGCCATGCATGCAATATGGGCAAAGTGGGCTCCTAGATTAGAGCGCAGTAAACTTTGTGTTTTCTCATATGCAGGTCAGTAAAACATGGGAGTACATTCAAATGTCATCCCCAAGCCACAGAATATTATAGAATCCTTCTCTTTAATTCAATAATTTTACTACCCGGTTGTGATATTCAAGATATTTTCTGTGTGATTTACAAAGTGATAAACTTATTTCAGCGATTTTATGGTTCATGAAATGATCATTATGTCATGTACAAACATGTATGTCTATGTAATCTTACGACACATTATTTTGTAGGTTCTCAATTTGGGACAGTGGTTTCTTTGCCTATATCAGGACTGTTATGTAAATATGGCTTTGCTGGAGGCTGGCCTTCTGTCTTCTATGTGTTTGGTATGTAGATGATCAACATAAAATGAAAAATTAGAATATGAAATAAGATGTAATAATGACTGTATTAATGAACTGTAATCAGCAGACCGGAACCATAGTTTTAGTGCTGTTTCCAAGTAGACTCTGGAAGGCATCACATCATATTGCTTTGGTAATGCATATATTAGGATCCCACAATTGTTCAATGTATCAGCTTGTTTCGTAGCAATACGAGTGTATGTTTTTATAGACTGAAGTATTTGTGACCTCTTTTGTTTTGCCCTACTAAACCAGAGTATCCATCCATGTTGCATTTAAAAATCCCATAAAAAGAAGTATTCAATCTACATTGCATTAAATAAGGATTTTATTATATTTGTATATGCCACAGCATTGTGTTACTTATCTCTGAATATAGGTGTCACAAAGCAACCAAATCCATTCATATCCTCTGTGTCCCTAAGATAAAGTCTCATGCCTTCTGGGACACCCTGTAATAACAATAATTTAACAATGATTTATATTAGCTTTAAGCATTATTTATTTGCAGCAAAATAATTTTACAAGTTATTTTCTATTAGGAAAGCCTGGGGAAGTGCTAATTTATTATTAGCCTCCTTAAGGCTTTTGCAATAATTAGTACTTTTAAGATATGATATGGATGAGCAATGTTTTTAGGTGCGCTTGGTTGCCTGTGGTTTGTAGCTTGGATGTTAATTGTATGTGACACACCGGCACAGCATCCAAATATCACCAAGGCAGAGAGAAACCACATAGAAGAAAACCTTCACGATGATAAGATTAAAGAAGATATTAAAGTAAGTGAAAATCACACTCTAGTGGAGGATGGATGTTGAATGAGTAATATGTATGGGCTTTTGGATTAAACCTTTTATACGGTAGTGCATGTTGATCGCACATGCCAGTTTTCAATTGATAGCATTGCTTCTTTAAAAATTAAAAGCGCATTGTGAATGTAAAACTTTATAAAGCAATTTAATTTGATCTGTTTGTACAGGGTTATCAATAAGTAGTGACAATGATGCTCCCATTTGAAGAGGTTTCAATAGTATAATATGAAACTTGGCAAAAATGCGCCAAAATAAGTTCCCAATCTAACTACCAAGAGAAAGGATACATGGTCAGAATATGTATGATTTGGTGGTGAATAAGTAACACAGGGGTACGGCATCCAGAGCAGATGGCAGATGACATTTGCCTGGTGATCGTCATTTTATTCTACTTTTAACTTTGCTTATTTCCTTTCTTGGCATAGCTGTTGATTGAATTATTTGAAATATAGTCATTTTCTAATATAAGAAATTATGCAATTTTCTAAATGATGAATTGTCAGTTGTATTGTTGTAATGTCATAGATGCTAAATTGTTGACAAGATTATGAATGAAATACGGGTGAAAATCCATCTTTTAGCCTGGGTAGTCATATTGGAAAGGTGGCAAAATGGATCAAGGAATGTCTTCACTGGCAGAAAAAACAGCATCAGACAGAGAACTTAAATACAACACTGTGTAAAGAATAACCTATCAGTGCATGATACAACTAGGTTTTTGAGAAATACCTTTGGGGACTATATTACATTTATGTCTGAGGGAAGAGTTAGCTGGCACAAGAAGTTCAAGGATGGTCGTGGCACACTAGAGGATCATCGAAGAAGTGGCTGACCAGTGACAGATTGACTTCCAATGTATTCTATCATGAGTGGGTTAGGGGGAATAGAGAATGTGTTTGTCGAGGTGGTACTTATTTTGAACATGAGCAGTGACTTGGTTTTCAATAACAAAATATTTTGTGAATGAATTGACCCATATAGCAGGACCAGGAGTCGCTTAAATTGACTGAATATCATTCGATGGAACTCTGATATAGGTGTTAAGTTCCCATGGAAACTATTAATGCGTTACAATGGAGTGTTAGCAATTTTTATTGTACAAGATAATTAAGTACTTTTATGCCTTCAAATTCACCAAGTTTCATTTAAATCGGTTTTATATTAAATGGGAGCATCATTGTCACTACTTATTGATCACCCTGTAATTCCAGAAATGACGATTATCATCCTCAAATTGTTGCTTTCCTATGTTGCCTGGTATTGTTATATAAACTGAAGTACATAAAACAATTATAGAGTCCCTAATATTTATTCATTTAAAGGTCAATAAACATAATCATTGTATTCATGCTCTGTATTCCAGCACCACCCCACCCCATGGTTAGAAATATTCAAATCTATAAGAGTTTGGGCAATTATTGTGGCTCATTTCTGCAACAATTGGGGATTCTATACTCTACTAACATGTCTCCCTACCTATATGAAAGATGTACTCAAGTTTGATATATCAGAGGTAAGAAACTAGGAGAGGGGACTGGAAAGTCAGTTAAAACGTCTCAATAGTTTGAGAATAGTGTCATCTAGAATGGATATTTGTCTGCAAATCATCATCAGTGAAAAACAGTTGAAAAGATTTTTTTTAATATTTTGAAAAAACGTTGATTAAAATGGTGAAAATGAATTTACAAAAATGTAATTGAATTTTTCTTGTATATCACTCTTTAAGAAGTGATATTTGATAGTTTAAAAGTGATATTCGATGGTTTGAGCATTTTTTGCAAAAATATGATATCTTGATCCACATATCAAATATATCTTCATGTGATATTCGATCTATATCCTTGCAACCATGGGATAAAGGTTATTTCATGGTTGATGTTCAATATAGATTTAATTCCAGGATAATATGATATTTCCCAAGGTCAGTATCATATAACCCATGGAATAAAATTCATATTGGAAAAACCTGGAATAAAATTCATAAAGTTGAAAATCAATCATGAAATGACCTTTTCGTTTTAAAACATGATCAAAAAATCCTTCAGCAAATTGTTTGAATTTTCTGAATCAAGTAGAGAAATATCTCATACATGAGAAACAAGTCAAATTCTTTACTTCAGAGAATATTTTTAATTTATTGAGACTTTTGACTAATATCCCTTAGTCTTTTTCAAAATATAACAGCATGTATACATTTATGTGACGTCATAAACAGACAATGGAAAATTTAATTATGTAACAAATGACCTAGTAACCTAAAAAATAACAACAACAAAAAACATAGATACGAAAAAACGAATGACCTAATAATAACCTTAAGATAAATATATCATCGTAATAAGTCTCAATAAATTAAAAATATTCTCTGAAGTAAAGAATTTGACTTGTTTCTGATATATTAACCAGAGAGATGAACTTACATAGAACTATCTCATACATGTTTTTCCAAATGCTTTGCCATCTGATGCTGTTATATCTTAGTGTTTTTGTTCTGTTGCTCAGCGATGAAATCATCTGTGTTGTTATTAGTAGTGAATTTTCATCTGACTACTTCCTGTGAATGTACTGAACAAAGTGATATACGTAATGAAATGCAATGTGTACTGTAGTCCCAAGCATAGTGACCATTGATTGTTTTTTCATTAATTTGATTTTTGAGTGAATACAATCCCAATATGATTTTTCTCAGGTGAATATGATCACAATACGATATTTCCTGGGTGAATATGTTTTTTGAGTGAATACGATTTTAAGAGGGACAATACAATTTTATTTCCCTGGGAAAACAATAGTATTATTGAATAAAAATATGTCTTTAACTCCTTTTTCTTTTAGAATGGATTTCTGTCTGCCATTCCCTACCTTGTAATGTGGATACTCATCAATGTAGGAGGTCAAATAGCAGATTACCTAAGAGCACACATACTCTCCACTACTAGTGTGAGGAAAATATTCAATACATTAGGTATACTGTACTCTATTAAAGATACTCTTCTCATACTCTATAACCAACAAAATGTTGAACTTGTTTATTCAATTAGGAGTCTGTTATCTCACATAGACAGTTCTCAATAGTATGTGATTGTGTGCTGTACAGTGCTCTATGATTGGTCAAAAGGCCAAGGTAAAAGGTGAAATGATTGGTCACCTTCAGAGGTTAATAGTCCAAAGCACTGGGGATGAACTGGAAACGAGGGAGGTTTTGCCTCGTATCAAAATGGCGGCGCGTGAAAAAATTGCATTCGGTAAGATTTTTGTTTTTTACAATTTTCGTGCTTTTATCCTTCAAATTCAAACTTGATATTTGGCAAGTAAATAGTTTATAAGTTCCGGTTTTATAATATGATTGCAAATTAGAAATCAATACAGACATTGCTGAGATATTTACATTTCAATTCTCTCACTTAGGAAACGAGGCACCTGTCTACATTTTGTAACAATGAAACGAGGCAATGTTTGACTTGCAACGAGGCAACTATTCTTTCTGTGATAGTGTCTACATTTAATGATCTTATTTCCACCGTTCTGGTCACATACGACCGATTACGTTTTACACGATATACATGATTATATATGTAAGAGTTAAAAAGAATAACCATATTGTTCATAAAGCGCTACACTGGTCATTTATCTTTCAGAGCAAGACAACATGTTCTTCAGTCTTGTCCCAAAGATTTCGATAATATAAGTTTGCATTATCAGGATTTTGCGCTTTCATTGCGTAATATTATTGCGTAATATTATACAATGGTTACGTAATCGTTTCTTTTGTATACAATTACGCAACCCTTTTATGGATAGATAGCCGTCTCCCCATGCCAAAAATATGTTATATATAATATATCTATAGAAACTTACACATGTTCTTTGGATATAAAACAAGAAATAAACCAAGTGAGTGTCTATTTTATATAGGAATATTGATCTAATCTAAGCTTAATTTCCGTGGTTGAATTCAAATGTGGGCCATGCGTATTACAGGGTTGTGTAGCCAGCTTTTGATTGGGTAGCGGGGGGGGTGTTCTGGCGAGCGTCGAATGCAAGCAAAGCACTTCACTCGATTCATTCTTTGCTGCAGCTTAAAATTTATGCTATGGAGTTATACTGTTTTATTTTTTAAATATTTCGAAAACGTTAAATAGCATTGCTTTGAGTGTCAATTCCAATAAACGAGCCAGCTATCCGAGCTATCAATGGTAGCGCATATATCATCAAAATGTTCTCTCAAATAAGAAAAATCTCGTTCAAAGAAGTGCTATTTTAATAGGGAGCTTAAGCTACACGTATTTTAGAAATGGCGAACGTAAACGTGAAATGACCCCTGGGATCTATAGTTCCGTTCTGGATTGACTTGTACAAAGACCCAATTAAAACAGTTTAACTGATACCTTTGTAATCATTCATGCAAATAAAGACGTTGAAGACAAGAACTAGTTCTCTGAAGATTGCAATTTGACACGTTTACGTACACTTCTCTTTAAAACATGTGTCTTTAAACCTCCCTACTAATCGTACGCAAATGGGGCATTGTTGTTGCTCGAGATGGCTATATTTGATAGAATATAATTCCAGATACGATAAAAAACGAATGACCATGGTAATAATTAAATGACTCGCCTATATTACAAAAATAGCAAAGTCAAGGAGCACACTGGCATTGTCTCATTGGTGTACATTGGATTTTACTGTTTGTATTCTTTAATGAAATACGCCAAAATGATGAGACGTGTATACAAATGAACCTGTTTTCTCATCTAACGTTCGTTTCCGTACAGAGAGATTACCATCATGCTGTTGCATCATATGGAATACAATATCAGCAATGTTGTCGTTTCCTGTGTTACAGAAATGTCATTTGAACAGGGACGCTTCTTTTTGTAGGCCCCGTTCTGTAATAAAAACAAAACATTTTTAATTAAATATGGTTGCCTCGTTTCATTCTTAAGAATGCTATATAGCTGCCTCGTTTCCTTGAGAAACATGCCTCGTTTCCTAAGTGAGAGAATTGATATGTAAATATCTCAGCAATGCCAGTATTGATTTCTAATTTGTAATCATATTATAAAACCGGAACTTATGAACTATTTACTTGCCAAATATTAAGTTTTAATTTGAAGGATAAAAGCACGAAAATTGTAAAAAACAAAAATCTTACCGAATGAAATTTTTTCACGCGCCGCCATTTTGATACGAGGCAAAACCTCCCTCGTTTCCAGTTCATCCCCAGTGCAAAGGCCAATTACTAATGAGCTAATGGTGGTTATGTCATTAGCAATGAGCTTCGGGTTAACAAAACAATGATGAAGGGGGCTCGTACATTTATTGAACTATTTTCACAATTGAAATATATCTTCTTGACCATGCCTTTATTTTTCCTGATGTTGTATATTTTTAATCCAGGTTTTATTTGTCCAGCTGTAGCCTTAGTGGCAGTAGGCTATATAGGTTGTGATCGCATCCATGCCCTTGTATTGATAACATTAGGTATTGGGCTGGGTGGTGCTGTGCAATGTGCGTATGCCATTAACCATCTTGATATTGCACCTGATTTTGCAGGTACAGATACAACACAACTGATTATTGAAGGAACATTGTCTTCATTATTATTAATTTCATATTGAAAAAAAAACAATTATGTCTGCATTTTTTGTAAAAAATGGATCAGATGGAACATGATTTTGACTTGCTTTATACATTTCTGTAATAATGGAGACATTATTCCTTTCAATTGGAATAAGATCCACATTCTGCATGCATGGCAAACCCCTCCCATGTCCTTATGTTTCCAAATATAAACTTTCAGATGAAAACCAGCAGTGTCACTTCCCCCTCCATTGCCCTTCTTTTTCCCCAAGTATGAATTACCTTGTTGTATTTTCAGGTCTGATTATTCCCCTTGCACTGTCATTATTATTAGATGAAAACTAGTGTCACATCTCCCTCCTCTTGTGTCTATTTCCCTTCTATAAATGATCTCCTTTTATTTGCAGGTCTTGTTATACCTGCTGCACTATTAGTCATAATGGGTTATATAGGGTGTGACCGCACACTTGCTGTGATTGTGCTTACGCTGGCTGTGGGCATTCAGGGATTCACAATGTCAGGATATAACGTTAATCACTTAGATATTGCTCCCGACAATGCAGGTGAAAACTACTTTCATGTACATGTACACACATTTTCAGTTACTTCAACATGATCTTATACTTTTTCTGCTGGTTATAAATGTATTTAAAGTTAGATACCCTATAAATATAATAAACTATATCCTATATCCAAAACTCACCATAATATAAATTATATATTCCATGCTTAGGCTGCAAACTCTTACTATTAGTAGATAAAGAGGGGGAATAAGCTCCATTAGTTTACCTCAACCCTAACTCCATCACTCCCATCTGTTATCATGAAGCTCTATTTTATTGTTCTATCACTAAAAAATATAATGCAATAGCATATCACTGATTGGTGATAGGCTTAATGAATTGTGAATTTATTTACTAAAACACACATTATTTTCATTTATTATCAGAAAAAGTGGTGGTTTAAATTTTTGAAAGCCTATTTTCAAAAAGCCACCAGTTTCAAAATTTTCTTTTCACTTTCAGTTTTTATAGTTTGATGTTAAAATAAGATTCAAAAACTATTCATGGACGTATTGTTGTTTTTTTCATTTAGGTACATTGATGGGCATAACAAACAGTGCAGCTACTATACCAGGGTTCCTGGGACCACAAGTTGTAGGGCTATTAACAGCTACTGCTGTAAGTGTATTCAATTTGGAAATTCTGTTAAATGTTTTATAAAAGTATCTGGGGAGGGCGTCTTTGATTTAAAAAACGGTTTATCCTCCTTTAAAAGCAATCATCTGATCTAATCAGAATTGAATTGGAACTAACTACTGTAAGGTCTGTAGCCATTATACTGGTTGCCCTAACCATACTACATGTACTTATCCCATACTTAGTAGTGTTATAGGTAAATAACATGCGGGAATATAATTGATATCTGAGGTGAGCGGGAGATATATATATCACCCGCTCATCAGTAATCCCCGGGAATTTCTTTCAGTGCTTTTTTGAATTCCCGGGATATACTTTTGATAAATATTAATTTCATACACTATCTTAAAAGCTGTTGAGTTTAAAAAACAAAAATTGTTGAGGACTTAAAATTGAGATAAAATATTCATGTTTTGATTGTAATTATCATTTGTAATTACTACATTAGGATTCCCTAACATTCAATGCATATTTTATTCTCATAATCTACTAAGTATAGGATAAATCAGTTATTGAATGCTTGATTTTTGATACAGGGTATATCCCTCGGTAAATACAATATATCAACCCTCGGCCCCTACGGTCCCTCAGGTAAATATATTGTATTTCCCTCAGATATACCCTGTATCAAAAACCTCCCATTAAATAACCTCTATTTACGCAATATAAATCCGGTATTTTCCTCAATAAAAACCTTTACACTTAATGCTGCAGTGGTTTTAGTAATATCCATATGCGAACGAAGTTCTGTAGGGATATAGTGAAGCCCTCCGTCCGTCCGTCCGTCCGTCCGTCAGTCAGTCAGTCTGTCCGTCTGTCCGGAAGATAACTCGAATACTAGTTGACAGATTTTCTTCATATTTGGTAGAAAGATGTATATTGGTGAATAGTTTTACGTTTCAAGATGGCTGCCAGTTTAAAAATGGCGGGAATTTTTTGCAAAAATCTTATGTTTTTCATTTTAAACCAAAATAATAAATATTTTTATTTGAAATTTTGGTAGTATATTAACTACATCTATCTATTTCACATATATCCTGGGTTTTTCACCCTGACCCCCAGGGGCCTTAAATGGGGGATTGGAAAAAACTGGAATTTGCGTTAATTTTGAGATGTTTTTGAAGTATAGCTTTATTATACTCAAATGAAAGGCAAGTTAGAGTAGATTGCAAATATTGTAGCGTTCTTATTAAAAAATTTTTTTTTTTTTAATAAGAATGATGAATTAGCAGTCATTTATGAAAAGTTATAAGAATATGTATTGTTTTTATTTTTGTATTAACTTTATATTTTCCATTGACATAATAAAAAATTATGTGTAACAGTAATAAAAATAAATAGATATGTAACCAAAGATCATATTTAACATATTGTAAAATGTGTAACGAACGAAAAGATGATTGAATGAGTGAATGAATGTATGAATGAGGGATGTATGAATGAGGTTATTCCATAGATGCATACAACTACATATGAAATACATGTAACAAGCACAGTATCCATAAATAATACTGGATCAATAAAAAAAAAAAAACAGTAAATTTGGTAGATAAAAAGATCATAAGAACTTGTTTTGTAGATAAAGCATCATAAGAATAAGCTTTTTGTATTACTTCTTGATATATAACTTATGTTGGCGACAACCTTTAGCCCGTCAATTGTAAACACAAAAAATATTTATAGAATGCTGTAGTATGTATATATGAAATAAATGAGTGAATAAAAAAAAAAAAAAAAAAAAAAAAAAAAAAAAAAAATATTGTAGCGTTTTCCTGATTCGGGCCTCAAAAAATTCAAAATGGCGGCCTAATGCTGGATTTCGCAATTATTTTCTGATGTCTTAAAAGTATGGCTATATTATACTCAAATTGAAGAAATTTCAGAGTAGATCACAATTATGGCATTGTTTTTTTGATTTGCACCTCTGAAAATTCAAAATGGCTGACTAGAGCAGAAATTTCACCATTACTGATACTACAATGATTTAAAATATTTATTGAAGGTAAGAGTAGATGGTAAGAGTAGATATTACATTGTGACTGTACAGATTGATGATTTATATAGTGTTCGTTGGGATTTGCTGCTCCGTGGAGTTGCCATTTTCTAGTTGTTCTGAATAATGTGTTGATGGGTGTTATAAAGAAGAGAGATAATAAGGCACATATGTATGTATGTTCATGAAAGACATTTATGGTAATTTAACGCTTTTGCTTTACAGAAAAATAGAATACAATGGCAGAAGGTGTTCTACATTAGTGCAGCCATCTACACATTTGGTGCAATATTTTATATAATATTTGGCTCTGGTGTTGAACAACCATGGGCCAAGAAAGGATACAAGATGGTGAAGAAGGTGGGTAGATCAGAGTCATGAACTGTAAATTGTACATTGAGCTGTAGATCTGTACTGTATCAATAGCCTGACAACGGTAAAGTCAGATACCAATGTCACATATGGCGGACATAACCATCACTTCAATTAGATTTTCATGAACTGTATGTTTAATAGAGCACCTAGACTAAATTCCTTTGGAACAACAATCAAGCAAGTGTCTTTATACTCATTGTACAGTTAATAATGTTCTACCATCGAAATAAAGTCTTTAATTTAACCGATCAATATGAGATACGGAGCAATGGACCGTGTATTACCATATGCTGTTGTCTTTGTAAATTATTTCAAATTCAGATTCCATTGTCATTGACAATATCGAAGACGCTATACAGTTCGTATCAAAAAAAATGCAACAGATTGTTATCTCGGAAAAGCACAAAACCAGTGATGACAGCATTGATTTCATTCAATGCACCATAAAGCCATGTGTCTCCTCTTTACAATGATATATCATTCATTGATATTTGGTCATGGTTGGGCGAGTAATCATTCCATTTGCAAAGTGAGCCAAAATTAGCTTTGTACCATCGCAAAAGTCAGTGTTCGGAACCTGGTGCAATATTGGAAGAAAACATAAAACCAATGCTGACTGCATCCTTTTCATTTAATGTACCAAAAAGCCAAATTACTCCTCTTTGCAATGGAATATCATTCATTAACAGGGAGTCATGTCTGGCCGAATAATCATTTATTTTGCAAAATTCAGCTCAGACCCAAGTTTTAAACATTGTGAAAGTCAGTACAAAGGGCATATGGGCTATTGGAAGAAGGTGTGTCAGGTGTGGCAAAGACAGTAACGTGTTCATATTCATACTCTTGCAAGAATACATCCTATACCCCTCAAAAACTGCCACCACTTCCTTGCACATAAAGATGTGCTCATCTGTCCACCTCATGCATGGTTCAGCCCTGAGTCATTTGTGGGTAAAACCAGAGAAAAGCAGCCCACGGGCAATTCTTTTTTGAGGTTTTGCAATATCTGGTGGAGGAATTCTGAGCACAGATGCTCTTTTTAAAACCTCTGTCGATAGGATTCCTGTTTTAAGTTATTTCTGTTCAACATCAATACAGAAAACTCCCCAATGACTCCTGGTTCAAAAGCTCGCCTATTTTCAAAATGGCCGCCATTTTTGTCTGACGAAATTCACTTTTGACCCATTTCCTAGCTTTACAAATAATTTCAAGTGTCCTACATTGTAAAAATCCATGTCAATGTAAAGAGTAAATGTATGAAATAATTTTGTTACGAAAAATCAGCGAAATTATATCTATTTTTTTTATTCTCAGCCATTTTAGTTAACATTGATTTGTCCATCTGTCTCGCGAAATTCACTTTTGACCCATTTCCTAGCTTTACAACTAATTTCAGGTGTCCTACTTTGTAAAAATCCATGTCAATGTAAAGGGTAGATATATGAAATAATTTTGTTACAAAAATTCAGCGAAAAATTATATCCATTTTTTTTATTTTCAGCCATTTTAGTTAACATTGATTTCTCTATCTGACTCGCGAAATCCACTTTCTGTCAATAACAGTGGCACGTTTTAAAACCTCTGTCGATGGGATTCCTGGTTTAAGTTATTTCTGTTCAACATCAATACAGAAAACTCCCCTATGACTCCTGGTTCAAAAGCTCGCCTATTTTCAAAATGGCCGCCATTTTTGTCTGATGAAATTCACTTTTGACCCATTTCCTAGCTTTACAAATAATTTCAAGTGTCCTACATTGTAAAAATCCATGTCAATGTAAAGAGTAAATGTATGAAATAATTTTGTTACGAAAAATCAGAGAAAATTATATCCATTTTTTTTATTCTCAGCCATTTTAGTTAACATTGATTTGACCATCTGTCTCGCAAAATCCACTTTTGGACCATTTACCTTAAACCCTCTGTCGATAGGATTCCCGTTTTAAGTTAATTTTGTTCAACATCAATACAAAAAACTCTCCTATGACTCTTGGTTCAAAAGCTCGCCTATTTTCAAAATGGTCGCCATTCTTGTTTCGCGAAATTCACTTTTTGCCCATTTCCTAGCTTTACAAATAATTTCAGCTGTCCTGCATTGTAAAAAGCCATGTCACTGTAAAGACTAGTTGTATGAAATAATTTTGTTTAAAAAAATCGGCAAAATATTATATCCTTTTTTTTATTTTCAGCCATTTTAGTTAACATTAATTTGTCCATCTGTCTCGCGAAATCCTCTTTTGGACTATTTGCTTAAAACCTCTGTCGATAGGATTCCAGTTTCAAGTTATTTTTGTTCAACATCAATACAAAAAACTCCCCTATGACTCCTGGTTCAAAAGCTTGCCTGATATCAAAATGGTCGCCATTTTTGTCTTGCAAAATTCAATTTTGGCCCATTTCCTAGCTTTACAAATAATTTCAGGTGTCTTGCATTGCAAAAAGCCATGTCACTGTAAAGATTAGTTGTATGAAATAATTTTGTTACAAATAATTGGCAAAAAATTATATCCATTTTTTTTCAGCCATTTTACTTAACATCAATTTGTCCATCTGTCTCTCAGTCAGTCCAAAATAGTGGCAAGTGGCTTGAAATAATTTTGTTACAAAAAATCAGCAAAAAATTATATCCGTTTTTTTTTTATTATTTTCTGTCACCATGTTAGCCCAATACCCATGGTACTAATTTTTTCAATATCTAAAACTTGGTGCAGAGCCAATTTTGACCCACTGTGCAAATGGAAGGATTTCTCACCCAACCATTACCACATGTGAATGAATGACATATCATTGCAAAGAGGAGAGACGTGGCTTTATGGTACGTTGAATGAAATTGATGTATTATAGCGATTCACGACACAATTTGATAGAAATTGGGATTACATCATCACAAGAGCTTAATACATGCACAGAATTAGCGACGATAAAATGCCATGAAATGAGAACCAAGTGATTAAAGAGTTGAAGTGATGGTTATGTCCGCCATTTGTGACAATGGTATCTGACTTAACCGTTGTCAGGCTATTTCGGTGTGATATTAGGCTAAGAAACTTTGAAAATGTTTTTGAAGAGTTTTAATGTATGTATACCATGAACCATTGAAACCCAGAGAATTTTTCAGTCTTCAACACCATTTGTTATTTCAGGTTGATGAAACTAACCAGATTCAACAGGAAGATGGCAAGGCTGGGTATGAGAGACTGCCATCTATATCTGAGACCCCAGAACAAAGATATCAACACAGCTCAGACTAAAGACACAAATTATGGAATTCGGTCATGTTTTAAAATGTGATATTTTTAGTTGGATATTATTCTAATTGATAGATCAGAATTTAATACATATGTACACAGGGAGATATGTTGAGTACTAAAAAAGTACTCCTGGCATTTTAACGCTAACTGAGTACTCATTTCAGTAAATACTAGTATTAAATGAGCACTTATGGCACGAGTACTGATTTATTGCATGTTTTAGTACTAATTGAGTACTCATATGATGAGTGATAAAATAGCAGTAATTTCATTGATTTTTTAGCTCTAAATGAGTACTCATATCATGAGTGATAAAATAGTACTAATCAGTCAATATGGTATAACGAAAATGGGACTTCTGCGCATGTTAAAATTTTTTGTCAAAACTCAACTTTTGTTCAAGTTGATACGATTGTCTTTCGAACTAGAGACTTACCTCATTCGAAAGATCATAAAAGACTTTATCTATACTGAAAATCTTAGATCCAAACATAGTAGAATACGCCGTCAGTCCGCATTTGATTTTTTGAACTGAGTTTCGTAGATCGTCAGATTTCTCCGACTGATATCGGGTTATCTCAAATTGGTTCGTTTATAAATACGAATTCTTTACCGTTGTAAGGCGCATGCGCAAAATTGATTTATAAAACGTTATTGGTTGATGGTTTTTCTCCTGAGCATGCGTGAAGTCTGATGACACTTATGACGAAGACCGGAGCAAACATTACTAGCTCTGGAACGAAATTCCAAGATTCAGATCATTTCGCCGTGTTTGCTAAGCGTGTATACGTGAATGACAAGCTCTTTTGAGTAGATCAGGTACCTGTTTTAGACACAACATTGATTTAGCTTGACATTGATGTGCTCATTGGCCCTTTTGAGTATGTTAATACAAGTTTTTACACTCTTAGCACGAGACGGGTTTTCGAAAAATCTGTTATCTGATTCACTCGATTATCGTATGGATATGTATTTCTGCTGACATTTCAACACCATATCACATAGAATTACGATGCAGAATGATAATAAAACACAAAACAACGACTAAATTCCACTTGTTATTTCACAGGAGGTAAAAATGCAAACTGCCTAGATTCTTTGTAAGGGTCGTCAGACATCGGATTGGCCGCCATATTTGAAATGAAAATATCACTAAATAGAGGTCTGCGCATGTCTCAACATTTCGACTGTAATAAAATTGATTTTTCAGCATTAAATGAGTACTCATATCATGATTTTAGTACTAAATTAGCACTTGTGACATAAGTGCTTATGAGTGCACTTTTGCCAGAGTGCTGATTTAGTACTAATTTTGTACTACATGTACTTTAGTGATCAGCATATATAATATCTCCCCGTGTAAGTTGACATAATCCCATGAACGATTTAGGATGTGAGGTTTGTTCAGAAGGAACTAACATATCTGTGTATTTTATAAACTGGAAGATAGGACAATACACTTGGTCTCCAACATTTATTGTGGAGTAAAGCAAACTTTTTTTACAAAATCATGAATGAATATTATATGTACACTCCCATCCATAAGTTTGGCAACCTTTTTTCCCCCATTGAACTACGTGTTAAAGCCTCTTTACCTTTGAATTTTTATTTTTTACTTAACCCGCGAGGAAAATACTTACACTTTTGATGGAAACGTAATTTGACTTTATTTCCAATACCTCCAAATTTTCTCAATTTTTTTCCTCAATTACAATAGATCGAAAATTAATGATAAATTTGATGAATTTTTGAAAATCGACATTCCCATGTTAACCAATGGGAAATGGTTGGTTTGCCGCAAGTCATATGACAGAATATCCATCCATCCGAGTCCTTGCAAAAAATACGAGTTAGGCAGGCAATTGAATTTAACTTTATTTAACAAAAAATTAATATGTTTCTTCAGGTTCAACAAAGTTATAGGGCTTTAAAGTCCAAATTGTTTTTCAATTCAATTTTCTATATAAAATTTTTTTTGCTGAATCTTTTACTGAAAAGAAAATCCTGATTTCTGATTTGCCCCGAACCCTCTATTTCCCATTGGATTACATGGGAATGACGATTTTCAAAAATTCATCAAATTTATCATCAATTTTCGACCTAACGAATTGAAGAAAAAAATTGAGAAAATTTGGAGGTATTGGAAATAAAGTCAAGTTACGTTTCCATCAATATCATAAGTTATTTCATCGCCGGTTAAGTAAATAAAAATTCAAACGTAAAGAGGCTTTAACACGTAGTTCAATGGGGGAAAAAGGTTGCCAAACTTATGGAGGGGAGTGTACAAATTATACAAGTTATCTTATTGATGCATAAATGTGCCATGGTGAAGTGAAATGAATTTCCACAGATACCATGTACCACTGGGGGGTATCGTGATGCAACAACACTGTGTTATTGCATCAAGATGGCCAGCCCTCCGGTGATATAGATTTTCTTACGATATTTTGTTTTCCGAATTTAAACCCATTTCTAGGCGAGTTGAACAATAATCGTAAACGTGCAGCTAGCGCATGGTCTATATTTTAAAAAACTGTCATTAGTATACATGTAGCATCATCAAGAAGCGATAAATTCACGGTTTTAATTCCTCGCTATTGATGCAACAACACCACTCTGTTTATTATCGATGATGCAACAACACCAATGTGCTGATGCAAAAACGCTAATATAATGTATCATTGAATCATTGGTCCATGAATGAAACGTATTCTGTTTGGTTTCTTAATGTATCTGTCTTTATCAAAGTTAAAAGAATATACAAGGCAAACTAAATACATAGGCTAAGTATTGAATCCTCAGGAGCCAACCTCATTGATATTGTATCTGAAAAATAAAGATTATACATTGTCCAGAGAGGGCAGGGATTCAATATTGGTTTTATTCCGAGAGACAATATGATATTTCACAAGGACCCGGGGAGAATCTGGGATAACTGCACCCCGGCTGCAGTACCCCTGTCAATTTACCTTTTTGGGCCCTATTTCCTATCTCTTTTGTTTACCTGACAGTCAGAGAGAACGAATCCAAAGAGAACAATACTTCTACATGTGCGCCGTGCAGATTTTCATAAAACGTGTAACTAGACCTCACTTGTATATTCAATTAAACGTTTTTACACGTTGGCTCTCCAAATTGGAGGAAATAAAGAATCATATCATATATGGGATGATTGCTTCATCTATGATATGATATCAACATGCTTTTTGAAATGTTCTCCGATAAGCTCACAAATGTCACGTACAGTTAAACTTTTTTATTAGTTATATTTTGATAAACAGTGGTAACGTACATCTACTAGTTTATCACTGTTCCAGAGATGGATGACAGATAATTTCCAATAGCTCGTCATGTTTACCGAGATGTTTGTCCACCATTTTGAATGATACTAACTGGAGTCATGGTCATCAAGCTATGGAACAGTGGTTTATGAAAATAGATTGGGTGACTATAGCTCGCAATTGCCATGTTAAAGGCGATTGAACTATGTTATAGAACAACTACAGTCCATTATGATATTTTGAAAGTATAAATTTTTGTAAATACGTATAAAGAATCTTCGCCCGCAGGACGTGTATTTTGAATGCCTTGAGAAGAACGAAAATGGGTAATGGCCCGGTGTTACATTAGTAGCATTTAGAAATCTGTTTCCTCTCGAGATTTATTGTCTTCTGAAAGGTCCATGTGCAGTATGGCAAGTGATTTTAGACAGTCATATCTTTCACCATGAGCACTTTCTGGCCATAAAAACAATGGTTTTTATTAAAACAATATGTTTTCTTTCAAGTTAAGTCCCCATGATAGTAAAATATCAATCCAACTCTCTGAAAAATTATGGCACTTTTCAAAAAATGTTAGGCTTATTTTCTAAAAAGATAATCTTGCTTCTCTCAATTTAAACATATGAAAAGTTTCTCCTACACTATATGAACAATTTCTGAGAAGGGGATGCGTATTGAAATGCGATAAAATTAAAAACCACATATCCCATGTTATTGGCTCACACAGTGAGCCTATGGGATCGACCAGGCGTCCGTCCGTCTGTTGGTCCGTCCGTCGGTCTGTCCGTCCATCAGTCCGTCTGTCAACATTGGCTGCACAAATTAAAACTGCTATTCGGATTGAGTCATATCCACATTCATATTTTTATGCATATCCATACTGCCTATTTGACCTATCATCGCCATTTCCCAAATTCGCCCGGTTTTTGAGAAATTGCGGATTTTGGCGTCAAAAAGTCAAATTTTCTGTAAATACTAGACACTTTGTTGAAGATTTCAAAGCTCTTGGAATTACAGTTTTTGGTGTTTACTCTTTGGGCCTATGGGATTGTCAATTTGACAAAAAGTAGGACTTAGTCATTTTCAGGAACTTTCTCATGTATAAAGGCAATGGCAGGTTTTGTGATTGACAAGTTTCTCAAAGTTTGCCTTATACTTGATCATTTCTTGCAATGAATTACATCATTACTAGATTTAAGCATTCCTTACATATTGCTCAATATATGTCAGCATTAAATTTTTACTGTTTTTGAGATATTTGATGTAAAAAAAACAGTAAAAATAAGTTATTTTTCAACTTGCTTCAATTTGACCAAATTCTTTTTTGAAAATCATCTACGAGTTGCCAGGAGTTCAAATCTAACATTAGTTTCAATATTTGAACTTTACTTGACCTTCAGTTACCTTCGAAAGGTCAAAAAAATGATTTTTTTCAAATTGATTTTTGGATGTAAATTTTGGTCAGCTTATCACAAAAGACCTTACTGAGCTCTGAATAAGTAAAAAAAAATTTGTTTGAAAGTCAGGATATACATTCCTCTGAAGGTTCCAAAATGTGTGAGCACGGGTCCGTGGGTCCTTCATTTTCCCTAAGGGAAAACTAGTGCTATCCATTGTTTTCAGCATCATTTTGGTCATCGAAAATTGATATCTTCAAAACTAGACTTTCAATACAATTATATTTTTGAAGATGTTTTAGACCCTTTGTTGAATAATCTTTTCATGCAATAAAAATCAGAAAAGGGAGATCCTCTTTTGAGTAAATAGGTTCAATATTTTGAAAAAAATGTTGACATGGGGTCCCTATTCATAATTTTTCGAATTGTTCGATTGATAAATTTATCATCATGGGTACTTCACTTGAAAGAAAACATATTGTTTTGATAAAAACTACTGTATTTATGCCCAGAAAGTA